GCCCCCAGATGGCTCCATGAGCCCCTGCCTTGCCACCTGTCCTTTCTCCTCCTGGCAGGGCCTGGGTCTCGTGACCACCAGAGTGGGACTCTCCCAGGCACTGGAGGCCGCAGTTGTCCCCTGGGCGTGGACACTGCCCTGGTAGAGGGGCAGGAGGTGAGAACTGGTGGGAGCGGGGTCTCTGGCGGCCATCACCTCAGTGCTCAGAAGAGTTGGCTCCAATTAATTATTTTCGGGTGAGGCTCGCAGTGTGTGCCTGGAGTAACGAAAGGCACCGAGTCCACTCCAGTTTTAAGTTCTTACTCTCAGAAACTCAGGCTGAATCAAAATGTCTCTTCTCTGGGGTTTGTGCAGTGAATTGAAAAGCTGGGGTGACAGGGCTGGGCAGTGGGAGCTCACCTTCAGGGAGGCCCGGGCCTGGGGCAGCCCTGGGTGTGCTCCCTGGAGGCCAGAAGAGCCTCCCAGACATCCAGGTCCCCGGGTCCTGAATTCAGTTGCCCTGGGCCCAGGACAGAACTGATTTCACCCGCCACAGGGGAGGGTGGGTGGCCACGAACTGTGCACTGTGGGGCGGGTGATCTGCCTGGCCACACTGGAAGGCAACAGGACCACGTGCTCTGGCCACAGCAAGCTTCTGCCTGCAGTGGCTTCTCTCCGTATTTTGTCACAGAAGGGAAGAGACACTGGTAGCAGCATGGGGCCGGGAGTTGCCCTCCTGCCTGCAGCCCCCAGCCCCACCAGGAGGAGACTGGAGACCACTGGTGGTCTCACCACCTTCAAGCATTCACCCCAGTTCTGTCCATGCCTTGGAACGGGAAAGCTATCATTCCACACAGACAGAGCAAGAATGAAATCCTCCTCAAACACAAGTTTGACCTGCAATAGTGACCCCCGTCCATACCCACACCCCTCTTTCCTGTTGAGCCCATGGACCGGAAGGTGTTGGCAGCTGCCCATGCCCCTCACCTGGTAAAGGCTCAGCTGGGGCAGGGTGCCAAGTTTCTGAATACCCAGGGTGAGGGCTGGTGCTTTTGTGGCAATTTTAGAACAGAGCCTAAGGCTTAGGGTGTCCCATCTTACAGTCCAGGGGACTCTCACTGAGACAGGTTGTACACAGATGTGAAGTGGGACAAACTGGCTGAGCTCAAGCAGAATGGCCATCAGCTCAAGGTCACGTGGCTGGAGGGACCAGGGGTTCTCGGTCCAGGGATGTGCCGGCATGAAGGCCTGGGGAAGGCCAGCTCCCGGGCCATCCAGGCTGCTCCATGCAGGGTGGGGCATGTCCCCCAGGGCTTTGCCCCAGGACCTGTGGGTATGGAAGCAGGAGACACCCAGCAGCGGACCTGAAGGTCGTGTCCACTCTGGCAGGCCTGTACCACCCTGGAAGGGCATGCTGATGTCAGGGTGGGCCCGGAACAATCAGGGCTGCCAGTCAGTGGGTGGTGTGGGTGAGATCCAGGCAGGAGGGACAAATCACTTTTAATTAGCTGTAAAGAGCAGGAAGTGGATCGCGCGATCTCCCGCATCTCTCTAGCTTCTGCTGATTGGTCTTGATTAAGCCTGATAAAAATACCCCCGCTGTTTGTGGCAGTAGGGCCCACCTGCCCCACCTACACCTGCTTTGAGGAGGACCTGCCAAGGGCCACCCAGGCCAGGTATGGGTGAGGTTCCCTGATGACTCCACAGGTCTTGGAATGGAAGGCAGATTCTCCACTGGGGGATCAGGACCACAGTTTGTGGGGTGTGTCCCTGCGCAGTGTCACAGGCAGCCAGGCATCTCCACCCTTTGTTGCAGGGCTGCATGGAGGTAGCAATTCTCCTGGATGCTGCCCTCCACCCTGGTCTTGGATCAAGTGCGAAGTGTGACTCTTAGCGCAGTGTGACTCTCTGCCGCCCATTTCTCAGAGGCCAGTGCAGGCTGGGGACTTGCTGAGATTGCGCCCATGTCCTGGCAGGAGGAGAGCCAGACCTCAGCCTTGCCCTATGCAGTTTCCCTCCTCTGGCCTGTCACCAAGCCAGGAGCCATTCCAGGAGGTGCACGGGGCTCAGTGAGTGCGGTGTTCCTAGTATGTCTGATCAGTGTGGGGGAAGGAGAGGGGTGCGGCCATCCTAGCTGGCCCATGCTCAGGATCTGTCGCAGAACTGGCCCACCCGCAAAGGCACCCCCGACGGAGCTCAGGTGTGGAGACAGCTTGGAGAGCCCTCTCAGGGCAGGGGGCTTGGATGCTTTTCTGCTCAGCACCTCGATGAGGGCGATGGTCACAGGTAAAGACAAGGGTGGAAGCCCATGTTGCACCCCTCAACATGCCTTGCATCTCCCACATCTTGGGGTAACAAGAGAACCTTGGCTGGTGCTGGGGCCTTGGTGTGTCCCTGCAGGTGTCTGGGTGCGTGCCCCAGAGCGAAGTGGCCTTGACTGCAGTCAGAGCGTGAGGGGCCATCCTGGGGGCTGGGAGCCAGCTGGTGCCGGATTGGTACCCAGGTCAGCTTGGCAAGTTCCCTGCTTCAGGGCATGGATGATGCCCTCCTGAGGTGACCATACAGTGAGCCATCCCTCAGTGTCCCACCTGGCTGCAAAAGCTGGCAGCAAGGCTCAGCTGTGCTCGGCAGCCCTCCAGGTGCAGCGAGCGGAGGAGAGATGGCCCTCTGCCAGCCAGGCCCAGGGGCAGCAGGGCCTCCAGAGCTCGGGCTGGGGTATCACTCTTCTCCAGGGTCCACTCCCCAGGACCCTGGCTCTGGCCTTTCCTGCCTGTGCTCACTGCAGGAGAGCAGACAGACTGGTTCAGGGGGCGGGTTCCAGTGCTGAGGCCTTCCAGTTAGGCAGCGGCCGGCAGCACTCCTGGCTGCCTTTGAGTTAAGGGGTCCTGCTCCTTCCCAGCCCCCGTCCCTGTGCAGTCTATCTGGCATCCTCCCACTAGGTGGCACTGTGGGCGCATGCCCATCGTCCCCCTGCGGCTGGAGGGAGGCCCATGGTGGGGGTGCCCGCCCTCCAGACACCTTCACAAGCCCACTGGGAAGGAGCAGCCTCCCCTCTCCGCCTTGCATTGGTGCCCAGCTGCTGGAGTCCTGTCCACCCCCTCCATGCCGGCTGTCTGTCCCTGTGTCCTAAGCCCTTGGTGGCTTGAGGGGAGGCCCTGGCTGGGGCCGGGCAGGCTGGAGGGAGGCACAGATGCAGCAACTGCTGTGTCCCTGCTGCTACTGTCACTACTCACACATGCTGTTCACTAGGCCCTGGTGGGAGAGGTCACTGAGAGGAGGCTGAGGCCATGTGGGAGGGGGAGCTAGCGCCCTGGGCATTCTGGGGGCCCTCGCTGCCCTACCCTCTGCACGCCTTGGCCTGG